CCCCTGGTGTTGGAAGTGCGCAACTGCAGCTAGTCTCATCAGATGCTCTGGCCCCATTTAACATCATTTTATCACCTTAATACCACATGACTGTGCTTACAGTTATGAGAACTGCTTATAAACATGATTTTAAACTGAAATCCACGACAGGAAATTACACTTAAGCTCAGTTTGAGACCCCAGTTGTAAAAGTTGTGATGAAGGAGGGAGTCAGATCTTTACTTAAGTGAAAGTAGAAATACCATAGCCTAAAAAATATACAATTCAAAGCCCTGGATTCAAAATATCACTTTAATATAAGTGCATAAATATTCTGAAAAAAAAAAAAAAAAACCAACTCAACTCAGTTTTTTTTTATAAAACACATTTAAGAAACTGCAGAGGTTAGCCAAAGTGCTGTACACTAAAAATAAAATAAAAATACAATAAAATAAAATAAACAAAAATAAAAAAAATAAAATAAAATAAAAATAAAATTAAAAAAAATACATAAAAAATAATAAAAACATAATATAACTTTTTTGTATCACTTACAAATACATGAGAGCAATTTAATGTCATAGCTCATCACCGTGGAGCTAATTTGAGATACTTGTATGCCACTGGTTAGATTATAGGTATAGCACTGCATCATATCTTATAACTACATTGTGTTTTTCAGTGTAAAAATTAACTGTAACAAATAATTGTAGTATTGAATAATAATTAGGGATGCATTCATGTGTATATTACTTTTTAATCATTAATATAAAATTGAACTTTATTGCTTCTTTTTTAACATAAACAGTGTCACCAAGTGTTAATAAATCAAAGATATGTGGAGACATAAGAGGGGGGAAATACTACATAAAATAATAATATAAAAATTCATAAATAACCATACACAAATAATTCTGTATTCCTACATAAATATGCACCACAATCTGCTCTGCTCTATAAGCAGCAGATGAGCTCTCAGACATTGTGCGACAGAGCACCATCTTCTCCACTTCGCCACATATCTCTCCGTCCTGCTCTTCAAACTGAAAGAGATTTGTTCATATGATGCAACTTTTGCCAACTCTCAAAAGAGGGCTCACCTGTTTTCCCCCAGTTTCGTCACTATAATTTGCTTTCCCACCATTATACTGATGTGAACAAAGTCCCTGGCTCAACGGGGAGATGTCATGTGCGGGTCACTGAGAACACACAGCCTCAGGCAGAACTCAAAGTTAGTCTGGGTAATGTTTTTTATATGTTCATGAACCTTTAGCCAACAGTTCTGAATCATGGGACGCTCCCAGAGTAGGTGAAGAAGCGTCCCTTCAGAGCTGCAGCTTAAGTATCTTGAATTGGATTAATCTAATTTTGATGTCTCTTGATACCCTTGGAATATTTTCACATTATCCCATTCTTTTTCTGTCACATCAATGTTCAGATCTGCTTTTCAAGTTAACAAATCAGCGTAAGATACAGAAACTGTCTCTTATGTCCCGTGTCTCAGCCCCATATGTGTATATGACTTTTTACATTTAATTCTGCCACTGAACCACTGAATAGAAATCACAATTCATACAGTCAAAGATTTATTCAAAATGAGTACAGTAGCATCTGCATATATCAAAACGCAAAGAACTTAAAATGCAGAATGTCCATTGTAAATTATGTAAATGTAAATAATTGTATTAAAATTATAGATGCAGTAGATTTTAATTTTGCAGCTTGTAAGTGGGCTAATTGTATCCTCAAAATAATACACTATAATTTATTTATTGATTATATTTTGCATCATTAATCTATATCTGCAAAGTAACTGGTAACAAAAGTAATTAAATACTTTATAATATAATCAATTCCATCAATATTTCAGTCTGCAGTATAGTGTAGCAGAAGAAAAAAGTAGCAGGAAAATGGAAATATTCAAGTAAAATTCAAGTTCGACAAACATCTTTCGAGGTAAAGTACTTGAGTCATTGTATTAAGTTGCTTTCCACTACTGCATCAAACATGGTTAGATACAATGCATGGTCGTATTTTATTTATATCTGTGATTCAATAGAGTTTAAAGTAAATTTTAACACAGCTCTACTCCTCCCAGATCCCTGATAAATCTATCTAGATTCCTGTTATTGGACTTTTATAAGTTTGTTCATGAGAGAAAATAAAGTCATAAACCAGGAGCACAGAATAAAACATGACACAGTCAGTGTTGACCAACAGCATGTCTTCATTTAATTTAGACAACAGGTAACAAAATTAATCAATAATTAATTATCAAATCATAACACAAATTTACAATCTTCAACCAAGTTGTTTGTTTTTACATTAAGCTGCACTAGTTATAAATTCTGTTTGAATTAATGATAATATATATAATATATAATATATATCGTACAGTACATTCCTGTAAAACAAAACACCAGAGACGTCAGACAGAGAATAACAGCATATTTTGTCATTTATAAATTAAATGAACAATTGCACTGAGATCATAAACAGTGGGGTTAGAAACCCTGAGATCACTACTAAGAGTTTGTTTCATAATTTATTAAAAAATCATTTCTAAAGCAACATTACAAATTTTTGTCCTTAAAGTAAAAATGTGGCAGTGTTTAGACTGGCCTTTAAACTGCTATATGTGTTTTTTAAATTTAAGTATCCACATTATTCCACCGCTTCTGCCTCCTTATATTATATAGGAGTATGTTTTCGTTTTTTTATCTCTCGAATAAATTTAATACTCTTGGCACATTTAGACTTTTCTGTCACTTAAGTGGTGATTTTATCTGTATTTTTTGAACAAGAAAAGTAAATTATGCAATATCTGTTATCATCTGGTATCAGATAATCTAGTATGAGATCAATCTGTCAATATTTGAATAAAATATGGTTTAAGAACGTCAAAAAATGGCCTAATTATTTAATATCAGCATTACTATAGTGCACAAAATTATGATTGGAATCAGTTCTAAATGGAGCTGCAACTAACGTCTATTTTCATTTTCGACTACAATACTACCATTATCAATTTCCTGATGATCAAATCTGTAAAAAACAAATAATAATTCATTGAAAATTAAGTTAGACCGAGAAAAGAAGCAAATTTCATTTACAATTCAGATCCTGAAACAATTAAATATTTAGTGTTTTTGCTTGAAAAAAAATACTTCAACGATTAATCAATCATCAAATTAGATGCACATTGATTTTCTTTTACTTATATTTGGATAAATAATGAAATCAAACAGCTGTTAGCAGTGAGCTAAGATCGTCTTAGCCCCACTGTCCCCTTGTCTACTTAAATTAAAAAATCTACAAGCCAGAGTTAAATTAAAAAGATCATTCAGAGGTCTGTTATAAAGAGTAAAGATAAACATGCAACATTATGATTACCAGTAGTTTGATATAAATAAGAAATAGAAACACAATACGTGCTGAATCAATGAAGTTAAGCTTCATTAATTATTAACACTGTACAGAGAGTGAACCCTTAAACCACCAAACAGATGTAGCAACTAACTCGACAGCCCTTCATATTTTATAGTGTAATGTTTGAAGTGGCAAATAATAATAATAATAATAATAATAGCACTTTTGTCTCTATGGTAAGTCGAGCAGGTTGTGCTGAGCGTAAAGTTCCTCAGTGATCTGGTACACCTCAGAGATTAGAGGTAGAGCCTCCCCCAGCATGGCCACCACCTTCTCCGGAGGGCCCACGTTCATCACTTCAAAGAAAGCAGGACGCCCTGGGAGCACGCAGAACGCCATGCCCGCAGCTGTACGCACCACCCAAGGGTGGTGCTGGGAGAGAGACTCATTGTAGGCTTCTGAACACATGACAGAAGTCTTGCTGTCCTCGCTGCTGGTGCGGAGGCGCTCCAGGAAGAGCTCCAGCCACCTCAGGGCACGGTGGAGCCTCAGCAGAGTGCGGCAGCCAGACTCTGGGTGGCTGCCTCTCTTGGTCAGGTCCACCAGGTTGTTGTCCAGCTCATATCTGACCATTGACTGGACGGTGGTGTAGTGAGACCCGTTCTCACCTTCTAGGAGAGCGACCAGGATCTTGATCTTGTTGACAGCATCCTTGGAAATGAAGCCGAACACACTTCCCAAGCAATTCAGAAACCTGAAGGGAAACAGTTTGTTAACACCTCAGCAGAAGAAGAAGAAGAAGAAGAAGAAGAAGAAGAAGAGACTTATTAATCCTACACCAGTACAATATTTGCCTCACACTTCTAGTGGATTAGTATACAGTAGCATAAACATGGAAAAACTCAAGTAAAGTACAAGTACCCTGAAATTATACTGACGTAGGGCTACAGTACTTGAGTAAATGTACTTAGTTACTTTCCACCACTGCAGCTGAGTGCCGTATGTACAGTACACTTACTTTACAAGACCACGCCACCCAGCAACGTAGTGTTCAACATAGACTTCTTTATTCTCCGACAGACACAATTTGAAAGTATCGAACACCTCCTGAAAACAGAATTTATGGTCTTCTTCGGGAGCAGCCATGGTGTCAGAGCTGTACGGAAGTGCTGTCGACAAAAAGAAAACAGGCAACAAATAGATGTAAATATGCGGCTAATGGCTGCCAACAAAATGGAGGTCGTGATAAATGTTAATACTGAGATATACAACCAAAAACCGAGCACATTACCTGTAAGAAAACGTAGAAAAAGGAAAGGAAAACTAAGAGTTTCTCTTCATGTCAGTGGTAAAACGGGTCACTCCTGCTTTAATCCGACGCTACTGCGCAGACTCGAACCGGGAAACACCGGAAAATGGTGATGCTGCCTTCAGAATAAAAGCACTAGTTTCGCTTTAGTATGAGCAGAATTCCAATTTAGTATAGTATTTAAGCAAATGTACTTAATTACGTTCCACCACTGGAAAAAGGGATACAACACTGTCAAAATCTTTAACAGTCTATGCTTTGACAATGGTTTACAAGGAAATAAAGCGTTTTATTTTGAATGTGCTGTCCGGAAGTTGTAACGTCTAGCAGTGTGTAACTTGTCAGTGGTAAAAACAAATGGTACTTGAAAGGACCCACATGTACACAAGTTAGACAATGAACAATACTTTGTAAATAAGGTGTTAATCATCAGAAGCACTCCGGCTTCATTTGTTAACTGTTAATTATTCTAACTTCAGTAACAGGCTGAGAAACATGCCTGAAATAAAAGTAACACCACTGGGTGAGTAACGTTACAGCAGCTAGCTAGCATCTGCTATGCTAGTTCCGTCAACAACAAATGTGTCTATAACTTTGACTCTATCCATCCGCTAAATGTCTGTCTCTCTCTGAAGACTAATAACGTGTGTACTTCCGTTATGGTGGCTGTAAATAGCTTGTAACGTTCACTTTAATCTGTTAGCAGCCGCTGTTAGCTGGAGAAGCTAGCATAGTGATGCATTTACTGTGTGTTTGTTTTTTTAAGATGTCCCTCAACTTCACTGTTCCCCCTCCAAGGTGCTGGACAGGATGTCGGCCGCAGCTGCATCCTCGTTTCCATTGGAGGCAAAAATATTATGCTTGACTGTGGGATGCACATGGGATACAATGATGATGTGAGTAAAGCATCTAATCCCCCAGACATTACAGCACAGCACAGCAAGGTCTTTGATTTGGTTTCATGATGTCATAAAGAGCCCACACCTAACACAGTTGCCCAGATATTAACATAAATGTGAGGTGGGAAAAAACACAAATATAATTCAACATGGGAGCTTGACATGCAGAAACCAAAAATATAATGAAAGAAATATAACATATGACACAAACAAGGTGTTATGCGTAAAACGCATAACACCTTGTTTGTGAAGCATGAAAAGCGGGATGAAAACCTTGAAACTAACTTTCATCATGGTCCCAACCTGCCTCACATTATGGCAACAAAGACTGCTCTGTCTCAGTAACTTAGAGACCTTGATGACAATTGTGCCACACAGATTTAATTCTAACAGATACACAATTACTCAACATACAAACTGTACACTCACCCACCTCTCCTCATACAATTTTGTTAGTTTTTACAACTGCCATATTATTACCAGTAGGGCTGCAACTAACAATTATTTTCATCGTTGATTCATCTGTAGATTATATTCTCAATTGATGGGTTATAAAATGTCAGAAAATGGTGAAAAATGTCTATTCCCAAAGCCCAAGATGTCTTCCAATGTTATACTACTCAAACCAATACATCCATTACTGAATTAGTTGGCAATTACTTTAACAGTTCACAGCTAATTGATTAATCAATTAATAGTGGCAGCTCTGTTCACCAAGTGGTTGCTGTAATCGAGGGCTGCTGTTGGTCTGGCCAGCCATCACTTTGGAATTAGAGCTGTAGATTACATAACTAATGGATTTGTCAATCTACAGAAAATATGAGCAACTATTGTTAATAATCATTTAAGTTACTTTTTAAGCAAAAAAAAAAAAAAAAAATCTCTAGTTGCAGTGTTTTAAATGTGAGGATTTGCTGCTTTCTGTTTGTAAATTGAAAATATTTTGGTGTTGGACGATTGGCTGAAGAAAACAAGACATTTGAAGCTATTTCTTCTTTTTCTGACATTTAAAAGATCTAAATAATTAATCAAGAAAATAATGGGTAGATTCATCAATGGAGAAAATAATTGATAGTTGCAGTGTCTACATTCAAGGTCTAATCTCTTTTTTCTATTCTCTAAGTGCATCTCAATGTGATTCCAATTGAGAGGGCTACGATGCGATTATAAAACGATTATCGATGCATCTTGATTCGATTTCTATATATGATTTATTGTTTCTCACTGTGTGACTTCTTGCTACTTTAAAAACATTGTGTATTTGTAATGATCCGTAATTAGAATAAACAGATGAATTTATGTGCACACAGTGTGGCTCTTGTCCAGGTCCCTTTTCCCTTCAACTTCATAGAAGCCAAAATGCTTTCATACACTAGTTTTTAATCCAGGGGGTGCAGGTCAGATTGCATCTGTCTTCATGCTCAGTTATCCTCAACAGATGTAAACCTGACACACATGTTTACGTCTGTTATGTTTCACCATGCAGTTGGTTTGGTTGTAAGAAACTTAGAGCCCAGTGTTACAAAATTGTGACGGATGATCGTTTCCGTTTTAAATTTCCGATTATTGACTTATCTGCATCGAGACAAAATCTTTTAATTTCATGAATTTATTAAATTTATGATTTGTTTTTTCCCCTTAACCAACATCTCCAGTGGCTTTAGCAAAGTCCATGAAACAGTCTTGTAACAAAAGGAGGAGGTTTGATGTTTCAGACCTTGTGAAGAAGCTATATTACATTATAATCCCAACTGAATGCATGTTTGCTTTGTCATTCCAGAGACGTTTCCCAGACTTTTCTTATATAACCCAGAACGGGCGTCTGACAGACTTTTTGGACTGTGTAATCATCAGGTTTGTTTCATTCAAGTTTCATTCCTCTCTCATCAGTCCAGTGTTTTTTACATGGCTACGTCTGTTCCTTTCTCAGCCATTTCCACTTGGACCACTGTGGCGCTCTGCCCTTCATGAGTGAGATGGTGGGCTACGATGGACCCATCTACATGACCCATCCCACCAAGGCCATCTGCCCCATTTTGCTGGAGGACTTCCGCAAGATCACGGTCGACAAAAAGGGCGAAACCAACTTCTTCACCTCGCAGATGATCAAGGACTGCATGAAGAAAGTGATACCTTTGAACCTCCACCAAACTGTCCAGGTGCACACGCTCGTATAGTTTTCGATGATATCCATCTATTTATCATTCCTGCGCCAGCTGTTCGTCTCTTTTGATGGCAAATCAGGCTGTTTCTGTTGTGCTGCTGGCAGGTGGATGATGAGCTGGAGATCAAGGCGTACTATGCAGGCCATGTCCTGGGAGCTGCCATGGTGCACATCAAAGTGGGATCAGAGTCTGTTGTCTACACTGTGAGTGTAAACAAGTCTGCACTGTGTCAGAGTTACTGACTTTGACGGCCAAGATCGCAGATTAATGTCTTTTCATTTTCAGGGAGACTACAACATGACACCAGACAGGCATTTAGGGTAAGTGGCCTTTACTGTGTTTAATCACAACATGCTGGAGTTTATTAATACACACTGTGCAGTGTCTTCATCCTCGTGTTTGTTTATTTGTAGTGCTGCGTGGATTGATAAGTGCCGTCCAGACATCCTCATCTCAGAGTCCACGTACGCCACGACCATCCGAGACTCGAAGAGATGCAGAGAGAGAGACTTTCTGAAGAAAGTACACGAAAGCATAGAAAGAGGAGGAAAGGTAATTTTAGAGTTTGTGGAATTTTGTATTTCAGGGTGTTTTAATTTGTTTACTGCATCATGTTGAGAAAATTCTGATTTTCCGAATCTTTGTGAGGTATTTGTTTTCTTCGCATCTTTTCAGGTTCTCATTCCAGTTTTTGCCCTCGGAAGAGCACAAGAACTCTGCATCCTGTTGGAAACTTTCTGGTAGGGTTGTCCTTCAATGTTTGAAGCAAGATTCACACATTAAGTTTTTATACTTTAACCATCAGTATCAGTCTGTGAATGTATCTAAGTCTCTGTCAGAGTTAGAAATTAAGGAGCAGAGATGATAGTGGAAGTGATAAGGATGCGCTGATCCAACTTTCTCAGATTGATACGGATACCTGAGCCATGGGTATCGGCTGATGCTGGGCACTGCTGGACACCAGTGTTTAATTAATAAGCCGTATGCCTCACTGTGTGGAAGTGAACAGGATCATTCTTTTATGTGTAACGGCGGAAATTCATGCACGGCACGTTTGCTGCAGCAGAGCACACCCATTATAATAAGCTGAAGCTGCTACACTGACCACTGAAGCCACAACATCACACTGCTGTTTTTTATTTGTACATGGCTAATCTATTTATTTATTAGTTTCCTCTGCATGCTGCTCTGCGGCCATTCAGGTCAACACTACATAGAACTGTGAAAAATGTGTTTTAAAATGCTAAATACCTCAGAGTACCTGAGGCAATGTGACACAGCAGAGCAACCCTGTGGGTGTTTTTACATTTCACATTAAAATAAATCAATGCACCCTGTAGTTAAAATGATCCAGTTAATTAACTCCAGACCCTGCATAACCAACTGCATAATCAGTTTGAAAAACTCATGAGACTCACAGTGAAGCTGGCAACAACCACATGCTGCAGAGACAGAGTCTGTGTAGCAGGTGAAATAACAACCCGCTCCACCTCGCCTACCTGGCACGTCACATCCGGGCCCCAAGTGTTTTAGCTGTAAGGCAACATCAGGCTTTACTTAAACATTCCTCTCCTAACTTTGGAAAATGTAATTATTTAATTATTTATTAGTAACATGTGAAATAGGGTATGGTGAATGTGCTAGGAAAGGTAGTATCGGCACGGTCACTACCTGGAGCTTGCATAAACGGAGCCTGGGTTTGTTGAAGGTGGTAGTGCTGTTTGGGCTGAGAAAGCCTGTGAGTTTATTTTCTCTATCTCCTTTAACTTTAGCTTATATTGGAGTTATGTTATGTAGCTTGTGAAATAGGGTATGTTGAATGTGCTAGGAAAGGTAGTATCGGCACTGTCACTACCTGGAGCTCGCATAAACAGAGCCTGGGTTTGTTGAAGGTGGCAGTGCTGTTTGGGCTGAGAAAGCCATGTGTAAGGTAAGGTAAAGGAGGTTGTTGGGTCGGTGCGGGGAGCAGTGAGAGCTGGCATTAGGGGAGTGTCTCTTGGACGCCAGAGATCACTGTCTAGCCTCCTGGAGGTGTCGTGGGACCAACTAGACGAAACACTGGTGAAAGGAGGTTCACACCCGATGACTCCAAAGACATGCTAGTTATCACTGCTCACTGGCCTGTATAGGAAAGCCTTGCCATAATAGCTTATGATAGGGCTTAGGAGGTTATTCAATGAGAACAGAATGTTTTGGAAAAGTTTTGAATATACTTGGTGCTCAGTAGCCCAGTAGGTAGGGTAAGCACATCGTGTACAAAGGCAGTGTGTTTGGAAACTGCGGCCTACTGGTGCACTGCTGATACATGATATAGCACACACATAAGTCATCATACGTAAACATAGAATTAAACTGAGTAGATCAGCCCCATTGTTGCCGATACCCTAAACCTCGGCCTGATATCCATTATCAGTATCAGATCGGTGCATCCCCTTTTCTCTGGCTGAGTTTTACCACAGGGGCTTTTTTTCTCACTGATGCTGTTCCAATTAAATTGAAAGTCTCTCGTCGATGTGAAGTAATTGCACATGATTACAACACACAAAGGTCACAAATTGTCTGGAATGAAAAAATAGCAGCTCCTTTAAATAGCTGTATTCACTTTATTAAGCTTGATAGAATAATGGCGGTATATGAACTTCTCCGTATTAAGTCACGGCACATTGCTCAGACACTCTAATTACTTCCTCTCCTCAAACAGGGAGAGAATGAACCTGAAGGCGCCGATCTACTTCTCCACCGGGCTGACGGAGAAAGCGAATCATTATTACAAGCTTTTCATCACGTGGACCAACCAGAAGATTCGAAAAACATTTGTACAGAGAAACATGTTTGAATTTAAGCACATCAAGGCCTTCGATCGCTCCTACGCTGATAATCCTGGACCCATGGTGAGTATCGTCATGTTGCACTAAAGTGTAGAAAGTGTTCAAACAACAGTGAGCTACAACAGTGTGTCCAATTTCAGGTGGTGTTTGCCACACCAGGTATGCTGCATGCTGGTCAGTCTCTGCAGATCTTCAAGAAATGGGCCGGAAATGAGAAAAACATGGTGAGTCTCGTAAGGAAATGTAAGTTTATTTATAACAATACTTGATAAACAACTAGTTCTGCTTTTTTTGTTGTAGGTAATCATGCCTGGGTATTGTGTACAAGGAACAATCGGTCACAAGATCCTAAATGGGCAGAGGAAACTGGAGATGGAAGGGAGAGCAACAGTAGGAGTTTTTAAATTTCTCTTTCACCTGTGTTAGTGTGTGTGTTAGTTACCTTACGTGCAGTACAAACATGGTGACAGCATATGGTAGAGCCAGAATTCCACCGTAATGGCTGCAAGAGATTCTTGTCCTACAGTCCTACATACTCTCACCAGCCACTTCATTAGGTACACCTTACTAGTACCAGGTTGGACTCCTTTTGCCTTCAGACCTGCCTTAATTCTTGGTGTCATAGATTCAACAAGGTACTGGAAACATTCCTCAGAGACTTTGGTCCATATTGACATGATGACATCACACAGTTGCTGCAGATTTGTCGGCTGCACATCCACGATGTGAATCTCCCGTTCCACCACATCTCTATGGATGCTCTACTGGACTGAGATCTGGTGACTGTGGAGGCCATTGGAGTACAGTGAACTCATTGTCATGTTCAAGAAACCAGTTTGAGATGATTTGAGCTTTGTGACATGGTGCGTTATCCTGCTGGAAGTAGCCATCAGAAGATGGGCACACTGTGGTCATAAAGGGATGGACACGGTCAGCAACAATACTCAGGTAGGCTGTGGTGTTTAAACCATGCTCAGTTGGTACTAAGAAAATCTCCCCCACACCATTACACCACCAGCAGCAGCCTGAACCATTGATACAAGGCAGGATGGATCCATGCTTTCATGTTGTTTACACCAAATTCTGACCCTACCATCTGAATGTGGCAGCAGAAATCCAGACTCATCAGACCAGGCAACGTTTTTCCAATCTTCTATTGTCCAGTTTTGGTGAGCCTGTGTGAACTGTAGCCTCAGTTTCCTGTTGTTAGCTGACAGGAGTGGCACCTGGTGTGGTCTTCTGCTGCTGTAGCCCATCTGCTTCAAGGTTGGACGTGTTGTTGTTTCAGAGATGGTCTTCTGCAGACCTTGGTTGTAACCAGTGGTTATTTGAGTTACTGTTGCCTTTCTATCATCTTGAACCAGTCTGGTCATTCTCGTCTGACCTCTGGCATCAACAAGGCATTTTGGTTCACTGGATATTTTCTCTTTTTGGGACCATCCTCTGTAAACACACAAAGATGGTTGTGTGTGAAAATCCCAGTAAATACTCAGACCAGCCCATCTGGCATGACTTAACGAGCAGTTGAACAGGTTTTCCTAATAAAGTGGCTGATGAGTGTTTATAGTGATCTAAAATAAAAAAAACTTAATAGCTAGAACATTCAGTCTTTTTGTTGCAGAAAGCTAAGGTCTCTTATCTTCTGTGTCATCTTTGTACACTCACGATGACGTCAGTACTTTATGTGTGGTGAAAAACGGCACAAAAATGCGTGGTGGCGCCAGAGGAATGAATGATGAAACTATCAGAAGGCCTATGCACTCTATTCATAAAAAGGAGTATATCTAAAAAAATGAATAATGGAAAAGTTAAAAAAAAAACTGTGGAGTGTTTAGAAATATTATGTTCATCATATATTACGGTTTATTGATTTGCATAACCGTAAGGGATATGAAGCATTAAAAGAAATGACATCACAATAAGCTAAATACCAATGTAGGCACTGATGCACCGTTTCTGTATCAGACTTCAATACAGTTAAACAAACAAGTTTTAATAAGCTAATTAGTGAGCTTCGGACAGAGCAAGGCTAGGCTAAGCTAACCGTCTCCTTGCTTTAGCCTCATATTTAGTGAAACAAATATTAGAAGGATATCAATCTTTTCAGCTGACTCTCAGCAAGAAAGCTAAAGCTCTAAAAACCACCAAAAACATTACCAGTGATTGACTCATTTCTCTGTATCCTCACAGTTGGATGTGAAGCTGCAGGTGGAGTACATGTCCTTCAGCGCCCATGCAGATGCAAAGGGCATCATGCAGCTCATTCGCATGGCAGAGCCTCGAAACATGCTGCTGGTGCACGGAGAGGCTGTGAAGATGGAGTTCCTCAAGGGCAAGATTGAACAGGAGTTCAGTAAGTACACCAGTGACTTTCAGCTCATTAAAAGTTACTGGTAAATGTCTTTATGCTCACTGTAGGAGGAGACGGTGTTGTTAATGTCTCTGTTTGTAAATGGCAGGCATAGACTGCTACATGCCGGCCAACGGAGAGACGGCGACTGTGACGACAAACCCCAGCGTCCCTGTGGATATCTCACTCAACCTGCTCAAGAGGGAGATGGCTCTCGGAGGTATGTGTGTTGGTTTGTTTTAGAAAGCGTAGGGATTTGTTTGTTTAGTTCAGTCTGAGTCAGGTGTCGAAAGAGTCAATGGTTAGACTGGTTTAGGTTCAGGATGCCTGCACATGTTGGTGAAGGTTCTCAGTCATCTAGGGTTCATCTCGGTTATCTTAAGTGCGATATTGTACAAAACTGGACTTCCTTGTGTTTCTTGAGGTGAAACGTCTTCAAGAAACTCAAGCAAGTCCAGTTGCCTTTGATATAGCACTTAAGATGTCTACACAGTTTCAGTTTCACTATTCTGTTTGTTTGACCTGACATTTTGATCAGTGCGGTGTACACGACCTCATGCCACCTAAATATCACGACCCACATCGTCGTCATAATGATAAATGTCATGTTTGTGAGATAAGAAGACTCGAAAACCTTAGTGGTCATGTACAGTGTTGCCCCTGGAATTTTTGGGGCGGCAGGTGGGCCAATTAAACACTCATCCTACCACCACAACAAAGTGCATTCTCAAATTTAAAACTTTCAATTTTCCATTAGCCTACTTTTCCGATTATTAATCAGTTACTCTCTGAAATCCACATGAACACTCTTCACATTGGTATAAGTTAGATCCGCCACACAACACTTATTCATAAAGAAAGTATGTCACATTTTAAGCTTGTTTGCCTGTTACTGTTGTTATTTCCTTCTTCCGAAACAGTGGTGAAGAACACCAGGAGCGAATGCCAGACGTTGAGTTTTCATTTAAACAAAATTATGACAGGTGTCTGAACTCCAGGCCAAATTAATCAGAGCACACAGGGCCAGGTTGCCTCCCTGAGTTACCACACGACTGGCTGCTGACCAGCAATGTAGCTTTTGAAAAAGGTTGTTTGTTGAACAGATTCTGGCGCAGCACTGCACAGAAAATGTACCGAGACTACAGTACACTACTTCCAGCAAACTTCACGGAGACGATTGAGGGGAAAACAGCATCACTGATCTTTTTTAACCGAATATTCTTTGGTCGAGCTCAGCTAAAAACACCATAACACAGACAACGTAACCTTCACTCCACCTGTCTCTCCTCTGCTCTGCTGTGCGTGTGGAGGCACAAGAACAGTACTACGCTCCCTCTTGACTTTTTCACCAATTTCCAAGATTCTCAAGATTTGTCTGAAGATCCCATCTGTGTTATTAGATTAATAATAATGAATAATCTTTATTTATAAATCGCTTTTCAAAACAGAGTTACAAATGACTTTTAAAAGAACTGATAAAAACACTTTAGTGTATAAAGGCTGAGGAAATAAAGACAGTTTAAATGAACTTAAAACTCAAGTAAAATCAGGAAAGGCTCTCCGATAAAAGTATGATTTAAGAAGGGACTTTAAATAGATCACTGACTCGGCCGACCTGATTTCCTTGGGCAGATTGTTCCAGAGCCTCGAGGGCCCTGACAGCAAACACTCCTTTAACACCTCTTTAGTTTTCAGTCAGACCTCTGTAACAGACAAGTCTTACAGTCTTTTTAGACTTGTGTCCAATTTCTGTGGCAGTTGGGTGAGGTATGACAGGCATGGTCCATTCTCAAATCTATGCCCACTGTTTTCATGTCATTATCTACTTGTTTATCTATTAATACTTTAAACCATTCTTGTGTTGAAGGGCCTCTTCCTGATCCCAAAAAACCTCGCACCATGCACGGAACCCTGATCATGAAAGAAAACGTAAGTCTGCTGTTATCAAATACTTCTAAAGGAATAGTTTGGATTTTTGGAAGTGGAGTTGTATGAGGTATTTAACCATAGTCGGTGTTTGGAGAAGCAGGCTGGAGTACTGACACAGTAGCGTAGCAATGTACTGCTGTGGACAGGGGCAGCAGCTACACTTACTGAAGTCACCTAAAAAAAAAAAAAAAGTCATGTATGCTATATTTAGAATATTATGAGTGCTTTACCCTGCCGTCAGCCAGCGTTGTCTGACGGGGAACTGAAACCGTTTTGTTGCTCACTTTAAAGCCATTGACAAAAACAGTAATTTTACCTCACACAAAACAGGAGTTGCTGTTCTCCCGCTGCTTTACTTGGTTAGTTTGTTTGTGATATTTTGTAACGTTGCTGTTTTAAAGGGTTCGATGGACTCCCCAAAGAAGGGTTGTCATGATAACCAATACTTCGGTACCAAGTCGATGCCGACACGCAAAAAATATGTCAGTACCTGTTTTGTTTTTCGGTACAGTAAGTACCGGATACAACTTTGCATTCAGCGGGCCGTGTTGATTCCTGTCGGAACTGACGGGGGCAGTATATGCGCATCAGTCTGTGCCGAGGACGAGCGCCAAAGAAGAACACCTGTTCTCCATTGTCATTGCGAGAAACAATGGCTTCTACAAGTGCTAGAGCTTAGATCGGGCCCAAAAAATCCAGCCCGACCCCAACCGAGCCCGTGCATGTTCTGTTCGAGTCCGGCCCAGCACATCCCTTTAACTGTAATTTTGAGCCCGAGCCCAGTTTAAAACCGACTTTTTTTTAAGGATATGAACGTGGACATTGAAGGCTGACTCTTGTCTTTCTTTCCATGGCAAGCCTTCGTCATGTGCCTCTAAAGTGTCGAGGTCCCCGTCTTTTTGCTGTGATATACCAGCATCGCGCTGCACTTGGTACACTCGACGAAGCCAACACACACGTTGTCACCGTTGATCACTCACATGTGTGCGGCCAGTGGTGCCTTCAAGGGGGGGCCGCGGTTTTATCGTGGTATCGAATGAGTATCGAGAATCGTGGAAATTCACTGGTATTGGTATCGACCACTGAAATTCTGGTATGGTCTGACAAGCCTACCCCAAAGTCACACAGTGACACAAATAAACAAACTGATCATGGCAGCAGTAGACAGTAGCTAAAGTGACAGTTTTGGTCAAAGTAGCCTGGTGGCTTTGAGGAGAGCTTAGATGGATATTACAGCTTCAGATCCCCATTGGAAAAAAAATGAAAATACTCTTATTATATTCTTAATTAAACAGATTTTGATTTTGTGCAGGTGGTTGCAATACTTTTATTTGCTGCCGTCCACAGCAGTACTTTGCTTAGCTTCGGTGGTGGTGTTCCTGCCTGCTTCTCCAAACGGGGCGTGCCATCCACTTTCTGTATTTAACACTCTGACTGTGGAAAAGTACCTCTTACCACCCCACTTCAAAAGATCCTAACTCTGTGTCAGTGCAGTGAGTCTGCCAGTTTTTGAATTTTAAAAACCTTAATGACATTTACATTGATGACCTCCAGCCTAACTTCCTTGTTTTCTTTCCCTGAGCGCAGAGTTTAAAGCTGGTGTCATCGGAACAGGCCCTGAAGGAGCTGGGCCTCAATGAACATCAGTTACGCTTCACCTGCCGTGTGCAACTCCAGGACCCGCACAGCGACCCCGACACACTTCACAGAATCTACACACACCTCAAGAGGTGAGAGCAGCGCTGCAGGAAGAGCAGGGCCTCTATTTACTTATTTATGAGCATTATTTTGCAGGTCACTGACACCATCCACTTCCTTTACCTCTGCACAGTTATTGATAAATGCATTTTCTTTCAGGGTTTAATTTGTCGTCAGTTCTTTTAGTATACTTGTGAGATACGTTAAGATATACAGTGCGAGTCATTTCTCTTTTTCTGACAGCCAAGGTTTTGGAAAATGTGAGATAACATCTGCAGTAAACACTTCGCTTTTGTATTTCTGTAATTCAGCGTGTTGAAAGGTTACACCATCCAGCACCTACCAGATGGCACAGTCATGGTGGAGTCTATCGTCATCAAAGTCTCCTCCTCCGCTGAAGACGCCAACACAAAGGTCCTGCTACTTTCCTGGAGTTATCAGGTAAAACATTTTGATTGTCGCATTGCTTCACTGGTTTAATTTAACAGCAGCATAAAGAATGGTTCATTAAAACACTTTGCACATCACGGCTGTTTGGAGACCAGTTCAGTTCACGTCTTTATTGGCCTGCGGGAGGAAATTCTTGTTACAGCACGGCAGCATAAAAACATAAACACATGAAAAACACAACAAGACAATTGAACAGTCCCACAGATTTCTGAGAGGGCCGTTACAATAGTCAGTTTTAAAGGTTATTAAAGTGTGTACAAATCTGGTCTTAATAAGTAGGCTCTTATCTTTAGGGCTTTCGAAATTACACGCTCATTTCAATTAATTAATCACGGAAAAAATAATGTGTTAAAAAAAATTAACGCTGATTAATCACGTTCCATGGTGCCCTTTGACCTGATGCATCATTGAAAGCCACAGTGGCTTTGCCACATGATGGAGGAATGGAACATTTACATTTAAAAAATGCCCAGATGAAACTGTCGACAGGAATACTGTTCCCTGCAATTTCTGCAGTAAGGAATTTTTGTACCATTGGAGAACTTCAAGCTTGTTATATCACCTCAACACAAAGCATTTAGCAGTGAACCCAGAAGTCCGAGCTAGCACAGCCTCTAATGCTAACACTAGCAGCCAGCCTCTTCAAACCACACTCGACCAGGCTTTCAGATGACCAGTTTCAGTGGTAGAGGACAGGGGGGACAGTTGTGTCCAAAATCCAGCAGCTTTATTACGACACATCTGCCAAAACTCATTAGAAGTGAAATTTTTCAAATACTTTCACAGCAAAAGTTGATGTATGCGATTAATTTAGATGAATTAATCACAGAGCATGCTTGATAGCCCTGATATATCATAATATAGGGTAAAAAGCCCATCGGCGGTGGCTCAGAGGTAGAGCGGGTCGTCCATCAATCGGAAGACCACCACTGTGTGAATGTGACTCTCTGGATGACTAGAGAGGCGCTGTACAAATGCAGGTCCATTTACCATTTTCAAACACTGTTTTTGTTTGTGCAAACTGAAGATGACGATGAGGAGGACATCAAGGTTCTTCATTTAATCTATTTTTTTAATAGACAAGGAATCAAGATGAGACCTAGCACCAAAAAATTAGCGCTTCTGTTTTATCTTTACTTAGGAGTAAAAACTTGTGACTCATCCATTAATGTTTATCAGCAAAACGTTGTGTAAGCTTTGTGATGGCGCTGAGATCATGTATGGGCAAGGAAATATATAGCTGCCAACAGGCTTGGAATTTTGTAATTGTGGCAGTTGTTTTGAGGGCATAAATACTGCTTAAAAAGTACAAAATACACAAAATTATCCTTTGAATTCTGATTTATCTACCAGATGAACTGTAGACTGCCAGACGAGTGACCTTTCATAGAGACCACATTTGTCGCTGCCATCGTGAAGATTTGCCACAGTCACTAATTAATATCTGCTCACGTCCGCTTTGGTGACTGCTGTTTTTTTTTTTTTTTTGTTTCTTTGTTTGTTTTTATTTCACTAGTACGTATATCGCAAAAATTTGAAATTTGTCCACCTTCGATCTTCTCTTCCCCTCTCTCACTCTCACCTCAAACAAACACACACACTCACACACATGGTGCTGTGTTGTTTTCCCATTCCCAGTTCCTGACAATTGTGCTTCCACAGTGAATAAAGTTGGCAGCTTGCGGGTCAGGTCGGATTGGTGTGGTTGATGAATGCATATTTTTGCGTCAACAGCAGGGCACCGAGGTCACAGTGGCCGATGGGTATACGGTTTTCAGAAGGGCATTTAGGGCAGACAAAGAGGGGCCTGGCTGCCGTTCAGTTCCTGCCCTGGCTGTGTATCGCTCACATTATTATGATAATGAGCGTTGTGTTTGTGTAGCCTGTGTCTCATGGGCAGCTTACAAAGGTTGAAAAATAGAGCGCCTTAAATTTGTCAACTGTTTTGGAGACAAACTCCTCTGTGGAGACACATTAGCTCCTGTCATGCAGATATCATGAATCCTGTCTTTGTAATAAGATTGTCTGATCTTCAGTGTTAAACGTGGTAGAAATCTAGAAGCACAAGAATGGACACCTTTGACGTCTCTAATTTGAGCTGCCCCGGTGCCGTGGTGAGGTCTGAACCCCAAATAGATACAGATCAAAAGGTCATAAGCAGCAAGATAATTGTAGAGTTGACTGAAACAAGCACTGAGGTACTTTAAACTCGCCGCAGTTTCCACTTGTGGCTTTTTAGCGTTGGTCTGAGACGTTTTTCTAAAGTCAATAAACGTATCTTTGGTCTTAGAGATGATCAGTATCAGATAGTGATCATCACCACAAGCCCTGCTGATGACTATTTTCTGTGATGCTGACAATCACTGAGTCAAATAGTACTGACGTCTAAATTCGATGGTGTAGGAGATAAACAGCAGTGGGGACAGGACGCAACCCCGTGGGGGTATGTAAGGCTGCGTTCACATCACAGGGCTTAATGCTGGATTCAGATTTGATCTTTCTGCCAAGACTGTTCACAGTCATGGTTGAAGTGACCCATATCTGGTATCAGTGTGGAAAAAGCATCACATCTGTGAGACGGGCATTTGAGGTTGAAAAGAATGAAAGTGTGGTGCCAGCTTCATCTCTGGAATGATTCACTGCCATATGTTCAGTATGATGGTGAGAAGACCAAGGCATGCAAAAACCAAACCAAAGCCTCTGTTTGAGAGATTGCTGTCACAGAAAAAGGGACTCTAGAACAATGGGCGTTTGTTTTTTGGATAATAGGCTGTCCTATAAATGGGCTTTTGGTCCGGTGGGGTATTTTTCAGGCTACTGAAATAATGATAATTTAAAACACATAAAAGCGCTCCTCCTGTAATTTCTACACTCAGCGCTGACACTGACACAACATGAATAAAAGGTAAAAACACACATGAATTCTGAAGACCAATGTCACAGTGGCTGCAGGACCAGTGAGCAGATTTAGGACCACATATGAAAGTTGCCCATATCTGACTGGAAAAAATCAGATATCTGTGTCACATGAGGGGATTTGCTTGTGATGTGAATGGAGCTTAAAATTCTTGCATGAGTTTGTGTGGCCTTAAGGTGCTAATGTGTGATGGTCCAACAAGCTGTCCCAGTAAGCATGGAGCCCACACTGTAACTAACTGCACTCCCTGAAGAAATATTATCATATTTTTGGAGAAATGAAAGAGTGATTCCAGAGAGAAGCAGACAGAGGGGTCTACAGTCTGTGTTTGAAGGATATATCCAGGATGTCAAACTGACTCAGCAGCAACAACTGGTTAAAAAGACAAAGATAGTTAGAAGCTAAAGCCGAACTATAGGCTACAGATCACAGTGTAAAAGTGAACCACCACATCACTGCTGATCGCCACACAAGACAATGAATATAAAGGGAAACTTTGCTGATATTGAACCAGCTGTGTGGCATCACAGTGTGTGCACATGAACAGTGTTTGCTGCCAGCACCTGGACCTCTGCCGCCAGACGGGCTGGGAGCTCCAAACAACGTTCATCTGCACACACTGCGATGACACAGAGCTGGTTGATTATCAGCAAAGTTTCCCTGCTTCCCTTCACTGGTTCCTGTACAGCAGGGTCGGTCTTTGTTTCACTGTTATAATCATTACAAAGCAAAAGCAGCATGTGTATACATTCAGTAGGCTATATCTTCAGTAGCTAGCTAGCTAACCCTACACTTTTCAGGGTTTGATTTTGGTTTTGAAACAAGGAAGAAACGTATATCTTTTTCCAACCTCTCCAGGTAACGAGTATCATTAATACACGACGTGCCCCAGGCACAACATTTAGCTCCAAATCCACAAAACCAGCCTGAAAATGAAGGAAATCTGAAATGACTGCATTAGTGCATGCTACGTTATGATTGGTCAGTCTGGGTCCGGGGGCGGGACTTAGCGAAAGGTAAATTGGGACAGTTGAGCAGCAGTGGCGGCATCATCCTTCCCTCTGTGGGCAAAAAAAAGATCATATTTATAGAGGATATTTCAGGCAATAAATGTAGTTAACGAGTCGCAGACTATATATGCAAAAAGTTACAATATTTATTTCAGTGAAGATGGGGGTGAGATGTATTTTCGTGCAGTTCAGAGTTCACTCTGATCGACTGTGACATCCTGAGGCTGTCCAGCCAACTTTCTGAATTTACTCCTGAAGTATTGATTGTTCATATTCTTTATATAACTGCATGATTAAATAAAACAAGTAGCAGAGAGGAGTAGCGCACAGACAATGATAGTGATAGTTTAATGACGATAAAGTGTTTGACAAGTTATTTTATACACCACTTCCTGTCCCAGATCCTTTTTGCCACAGCACGCGACTGCATCGTTAGTGAAATCTGACAACACCACAGGGGCGTCGATAAACACGGTTCAATAATCTACACATGCGCTCAGAGTCCTGAGGAGAGGTTCGACCAGCCAGAGGAAGTGAAAACATTGTGTGGGTGGACAGCATGGTAGCAGGGGCTCTAAGGTGAAAGTAGAGGGAGGGGAAACCTGACTGCTGAGCTTCAGTCACTGTGCAATGGAAGGAGAGTGGTTTCTGTGGCTTCATGTGCTCCGTGCAGAGCATAAAGGGCAAAAAGTAAAACACATGATGTCTATTTTTTGCCAGTTTGTCATATCTTTCCTGTCTTAGATTCTTACCTTAGATTTGATCTTCACTAAACTTCAGCCTAAGATCACACATATACAGTCGTTATTGATCGTCTGATATCTGTTCGTGTTGGACATAAAATCAAGTACTCGATAAGAACTTAAGATTTTTCTCTGTAGCCCTTAATGTAGAGTATTCACCTTTAACATGTTATTCTTGTAAAATAATTATATATAACACATATTTTTATGGCTTCAAATAAACAGACGGGTGCATATTGCATGCCACAAGTGGAATTAAATCCTTTTCAATCATTCTTGTATCAGAAATGCCTTACAGCCACTGGTTTCAGCCTCTCAGATGTTATACTTTTCAGCCTTTCTGTCTGTTGTGTCATCGTAAACTGAATGTCTTTGGTCAGACAGAGCTAGCCTTCTGAAGACGTCACCGTTTCACAAGCATTTTCACAAATTTCGGACACATTGTAGTCAAAACAATTAGTGTAGAACATAATCTGTAGATTAAACAAGGAGGACAAGGGGTCACAAGAAGATGAAAATAATTAATACAGTTTTTAAAAAATGGGTAAGGAATTTTCATCAATAATTTTCGTTTCCTTGTGAAATATAAAATGCCTCTTTGCCTCTTTATGTCTACAAAAAGTTAAATTATCACTCAAACATGGAGTCTCGAGAAGCAACTGCTAAAGTGAAAATCTGGTTCTATATAATTCCCGACAACACTTTGTCTTTGACTTAATGTTCTGTTTTCTTTGTCAGGACGAAGACCTCGGGAGCTTCCTCTCAAGTCTGCTGAAAAAGGGGCTTCCATCTGGACTGTGCTGAAACATCTTTTGTCCCGAAGCAATGGACATTTAAAGGAAAATTCCCACCAAAAGAATTCATGTATTGTCACATGTTTGAACCTGGATTTGTGTAGGCTGAGAAATTACTCCCACTGCAGAGGCTTTCATATTTGTACCTTTATCTGAATTTGCTCCCTTCTACTGCTGGGAGTGTATTTCACAACCTGGACCTTATTTTCCCATGTTTTTATGTCAATGACTAATTGGTACAGTGTTAAGAGAGAGAGCTGCAGACGACAGCGGCAGACAGGCTGCAGCAGAATCAGGGTAATTATACGCTGTCCATTTACGTCCACTAAAAGTGCTTGTTTTGCCACTGACAGGCTCAGATTATCATTATAAGTGTCTGACAACATTATGGAAAGGATCCTTACAGAGATAGGCCTTTTTGATAAAGAGTACGATCATTTTTGTTCAACCAGAAACGGCCTTGAAATCAGTATCGCCAAACCCACCAAAATCCATTTAAATAAATAGTCATTTTTATCATCATTAAACACACTTCATTCAGAGTTGAAAAAAACAAAATAAATCTCACAAAAGCTGTCTTGGTTCGTCTTTTCACTTTTACAATATTTGCTAATTCTGGTTTGATTGAAATAAACTCTTAATTCACCCCGTTAGATGTGGAAGCATGCTGCCTCTACACATGCTAAAATTACTGTTTATTTAAATGGGAGTCTGGTGGTGATAGCGATGTCAAGCGGTTTCTGGTTAAACAAAAAGGATCTTACTCCTTTACAAAGGGCTCTGTCTCTGTAGGGATCCTTTCTGTAATGTCAGACACTTACAGTAACAATCTGAGCCTGTCAGTGGCAAAAACAAGCACTTTTAGCTGATGTAAACTGACAGCACGAACATGCCCAGAGTGGTTACATTGCAGCCTGTTTCACCGCTTAACAAATTGTTGCTCCCATCAGTCACTTCGACACAAAAACATGGGAAAATAGTACCCAGGCTGCTGCCCTCTGATTGGCCTGTTCTTTATTAGTGACGGTCTTTCATTTACAGACTGAACGGCACAAAGTCAAGACAAATACTCAAATTCTGATTTGTACCTTTATTTTGATGTACAAAGTCAATTTGAATAAACACTTTTTATAGAAAAGACTCATTTTTGCAGCACTTAAGTCAGATATACAAAAACAATGAAGCATATACAGAGATATATTTACAGTATACATTAACCCTTCATCTCACGGCAATGGTATAAACACCCCTCCTCCTCCTCACTCCTCCCCACAGCCAAGACAACTTTAAAGGCTTCCATTTGCAGTAGCTGGTGGTGACGTAGTACAGCACGGGGTCCAGGCATGTGTTGAGGATGACGAGCGCCATGGTGCCCCGTCTGGCGTTGTAGATGGCGTTGGCCAAGGAGCAGCTCTGGATGACATCCATGCGTCGAAGGAGGTGCAGCAGGTACACCACGTGGTTGGGCAGGAAGCAGAGCAGCGTTATAGCCAGGATGATGTAAATGACCCTCACGGCTTTTTGGGCCGTTTTAGTTTTTATCATGGAGATGCGCCTCGCAGCCAGCGGGTAGCACACCAGGATGATCACGGAGGGCAGCAGAGAGCCAAAGATGAGGCACAGCATGCTGTACGCCGCCAAACGTGTGTTCCACTCGCTCCTGGCGAAGTTCTCAAAGCAGCTGTGGGTTCCAGATTTGTCTGAGTTGGTTGCCAGAGGTCCCAAGAGGACAAACACCAGCATAGCCACTATGACCACACACCAGAGCACCACACTCACAACCAGGGAGCACCAGGGGCTCCGCAGCTTCAGATAGGTGTGCGGATGTACGGTGGCCATGTAGCGATCCACGCAGATACAAGTCATGAAACAGATGCTCATGTAGATGTTGGCGAAGAACAGAATCCCGGTGATGCGGCAGGCAACGTCCCCAAACACCCAGTTGTTTCTGTTGAGGTGGTAGTGGATCTTAAAGGGCAGAGTGCAGAGGATGACGATGTCCGCCAGAGCCAGGTTGCTGATGTACACGCTGAAGGCCGTGCGGGGAGTGGTCCTGAAGGCGAAGACGAAGAGAGCAGCTACATTTCCTGGGAGACCTACAACTAAAGCCAAGATGTAGACCACTGGGAAGAAGTAGTACTGGTACTCTGTTGAAGGCTCACTGCAGTTACCAATGGTCATGTTCATCTTCGCAGATTGTTTTGGCAAATTACAGTCACACAGCGTGGGTTGATTCTCACAGCATCTGTAACTGTAGCAATACAAACATGTTTCCATTCAGTTTTTCCACTTTTACTTTCACACTACCTCGGAAACAAATCTTTTAGTCATTCTTTTATTCTGCTGCTTACTTTTTTTGTTCCAGACACTGACTACATTATTCTGATTTGTTTGGGTTTCTAAAAACTTTTTTATGATGAAGTGAAACAGAAAAGCAGAAAAATACTGACCACTTATAAAAAGCCAACAAAGTTACACTTCCAGTAGAGGTGATATTTTCGGTTTGGCTTGTTTGTTTGTCAGCAGAATTACGGAAGAACTACTGGCTCAATGTTCTTGAAAGTTGGTGGAAGTTTGTAGCATGGGCCAAGGAAGAACAACTTAAATTTACCTGGAGCAGATCCTAATCACAAGGCGAATGCACCATTTTTTTTTTTTTATAGCGCATTAGGTCTTGCCAGAGAAGTGCCCTTCTACTTGAGATACGATATATTTCACTTCACTGTTTACTTAAAGGAAATTATTCACCACATTTTCCAGGAATTACAAATTTTCTGAAACATTTGATTTATATTTGTAAAGTCTTTACTCAAACTAAACCTAGACTATATCAGGATAAAACAAAACAAAAGAGAAAATAAAAACACTTACCGAGCTGTTCAGGAGTTCCTTCGCCTGATCTCCAAAATGCAGAGCGCTGTGCAGTATGTTGAAGACGCATGAGATAAAAGCTGTGTTTTGTAGCCGCACGTTGTTTGAGCAGCTCCTCTCAGGATACAGTGAGCTTGTAAAATGCTGCTCTTTGCTCAGGCGTCTTAATTTCCTGTTTCAGTGTTGTGGAGGTGTAGAGTAAAGAAAAGGGAGGGGAACCGTGCATACGGTCTGCTTGTATCATCCACCCACGCCACTTTAGTGAGATATATGATGAGTATGAGTCAAGTCAGGTTTATTTATTTAACACCAAATCATAACAGCATCTCAGGACACTTTACATCTACATGTGGAGCAGGTCTAGCACCATACTCTTTGATTTACCAAAGAATTCCTACCATGACCAAGCACTTGGCAAAGGTGGCGAGGAAAAACTTTTTTTAACTGGCAGAAACTTTAAATAGAACCAGGCTCTGGGTGGGCGGCTGTCTGCCTCAACTGGTGGGGTTCAGAGAAAGAGTGGGTAATACGTTACAGAAATATGACTAATAAAAAATAACAGTAGCAGCGAGCACAACCACGATCTATGGGAACCTGCAAGATCAGAGAGCATAAGAACTTCAGGGAGGAAGCAAAGTTCGTAACATGCATTGATGGAACATGAATGAGTGCAGATGAAGAGGAAGAGGAGGAGAGGTGAGCTTGGTGCATTGTAAGAAGTGCCCTGGCAGTCCAGGCCTTAATAGCAGCTTAACTAGGGGCTGGCTCAAGGGAAACCTGAGCCAGCCCTAACTATGAGCTTTATCAAAGAGGAAAGACTTAAAGCTTCAGTGTGGCATTAGGAAGATATATTGGTAGAAATTAATTATAATAAGAATGTTATTCTTGTGTTTTCATTACCTTAAAATGAGCTGTTTATATCTACATACAGTAGGGAGCGAGACCTCATCCAGGGAGTCCACCATGTTGCACCGCCGTGTTTCTACAGTAGCCCGGAACAAACAAACCAAACACTGGATCTAGATAGGGGTGTTCGCATTTTTGTATTTTCATGTCTGCCATAGTCGTCAGCAGCCCCACCGCAACAAGCTGAACAATGTTGGAAAAACACAGATTTTTAATCTGAAACTGCTTTATCCAGTGTTTTCACCAGTTTAAACCACCAGGTACGTTAATTCTGGAGATGAGACACTAATAATAATAATAATTCAGCTCCTGGTAAAAATTTTAAGTTATCAGAGAAAAAAGGTGAGCAAGCATCAGCTTTAAGTCAATAATAATTCGGTTACTGGTGAAACCTCCTGAAAATCTGGAATTTAAGTTATCAGAGTTATCAACACATCATGTTAATAAAATGTGGTGGGCAAGTCGACCTTTTCTGCCATGCTGAACAGCATTGGAGAAACACTGATTTGTAATGTGAAACTGTTTTTTTCCAGTGTTAATTAGTGATAATTCGGCTCCCAGTTAAAACCTCCTGAACAATGAACACTGAAGAAATCCTAACCAGGAGAAGTTTTAGCTGGTTGCAGTCTGCAATCCTCACTGCTTCATACCACTAAATCCCCCTAAATCTTTCACACTGTTTCTTTTAAGCCTACTCTTAAATGTTGAGATGGTGTCTGCCTCCGGCCAAATCTGGAAGATAGTTCCACAGGAGAGGAGCCTGATGAGTGAAAGCTCTGGCTTAGTTACTTTTACAGTTTTGAGGTCACAGTTATGCAGAGTATGTTAAAGGTGGTTCATGCAAGATATGGATCTTGTGCGCAGAAGAGATTAGATTAATCATGTGCACACAGGATCCAAATCTTCTAGATAATAATTCATGCGCATAAGATCTGTATCAATATCCTACAGGATGTTGGGGCGTCTGCAATGATGTGATATGACGATGATGTATGTCACAACTCTTACCCCATGTTGTACGGTTAACAGAGCGACATTAGCTCCTCTCTGTGAGTGAAGTCAGACCCCTATCTGACTTCACTCACAGAGAGGAGCCACACTAACCTCAGGCAGGTTATTGTGGCCATGCTATGGGGTAAAATTAGCTGTTAGACTCCTCTGTCTTTTTATTCTCTGTGCATTGTGTTCATTGTTCCTGTGCTGGAGTATTGCATGGCTTCAGGTGTGGACAGCACCATGTACACACAGTATCTACTGAGAAATGAATATTGTAATTATTAATATTTTTTATATATTTTATAGTTTAATTGGTTCCGTTCCGGTAGACTTTTTGATGCTTTTATTCTGAAAGAGAAAGACCGGAAGTGTTTTATGTAGCGCGGAACAAGGAGTAAATTGAAAAGTAGCTAGTTCGCTCTACGTGTAAATTAACGCGCGTATCATAATTAGTTTATATTATATATTCTGTAACAGTAGCGAGGTAAAAGGCACAGCATACGGAACAACTGTGTGGTTGTTGACATTATTCCCAGAAAGGTTTTACGATGATTTTAGCTAGCTACAACTAGCTAACAGCTAACTAGCTAAACCTCAACGTTAATGTTACAGTTCACAGGAAACTCAAGCCGTAGTCAAGCTAATGATACGTGAAGTTTACTAATGTATGAGTCACAAAATGTCGAATATGAACAGACGTTTTCTTGTCCATTAATATTTAAACTATGGATAAGTCCACAGTGTTAAACACAGCAGGTAGAGAGGACGTAGGTAATTGCTATATCTGTCTGAGCCCATTTGAAAATCAAACAGTTGGCTCTCTGCAGAGCTGCCAGCATGTCTTCTGCCTTCAATGTATTCTCCAGTGGTCCCAGGTAAACACACACTTCACCTCTCACCTCTGTCCATTAAAATATCTCATTGTCGTAACAACAGATGCCTTTATCAGATTAATATTCTCTTTAATTCTGCCAATAAAGTGTATCAGTCACACTTTGGCAGTGCCATATGTTTGCAAGATGTATACCAATTTCTTGAGACATTTTTGTGTCAGAAAAATGTCATTTCCCCCACTTAAATGCCTCCCTGTTATAACGATAAATATTAAAGACACAGTAGTAGATGCAGTGACGTGATCGCTGTTCTGTCTTTTAAAATACATTAAGATTGAAGCTGAATGATTAGTTGATTGACATGATTGTAAATGTAATTTATGTGGGTTTTGGACTGCTTGTCAGGGATAACAATTAACATAAACATGTCATCTTGGGGTCTGGGGTTATGTAGGTATGACAATGAATGGATTAATTGGGAAACTATAATATTTAAGATGCATGGGCCTTGACTGTGTTACATCAGAGTACCTT